TTCGAATTTTGTTTTTTGTTTTTGGGTAAACTAAAAAAGAAAGAGGGTTAATGCTTATCACGGTGTGATAGAGTTGACTGGGAATAGTCAATGAAATAGTAGATAATTAGCGTAAGTGCACATCATGTTGCTTAATTGATTTTGTCTATTTCTCAGATACATGTCGGATACATACACCCTAATTTCAGGTTTCCCCACTCCGCAAAGAAATTAAGGCATACTCTTTATCTGCCTACGAATGCTCCCATATTTAACAACAGAAAACACCTATTCTACTACTAAGTCACAACAGTTCTTTGTAAGTTATTATAACAACCTTCGCTTTCCCCATCTTTTCCCACTGTCTAAACCAACAAGCATCGACGAGGACAGAGCCGCTGATGGACCTTCTACGCCAACTGACTCTGGGATGTCTAGACTCGCTTGCCCAGACGCTACTACTACCGACTGTTCTTCTGCATTCACCTGATGCGTCTCTATCCTAGCTTTCTCGACCTGTAAACAGAGTGTCTTGTTATATAAATGATCTTACTTTTCCCTATACCCCACCACATACATACATAAAGAGACATCATTTGGTCTTTTACTAGTTCAATGTGACTGATAGATCCACGCGCTTCTGCTAGTCTACTCTGCAACTCATCCCATTTCTTCCTCCTGTGTTCTTCGTTCTCCATCTCGCTCCCTTTGTCACCCAACTGCTGATACAGAGCTGCAATAACCAATCAAAATGTTGTGCTCAGTGCTTTGGAGATGCTTTTTTTGTTTTGTTTTTTTAAACTCAATTCTGTTTACACAAGAAAGCTAACCTGTGAAGATGGATAGAACCCATAACTGAGTTGGGATATCAGAGAGTTTCTTTGCAAGTGTAAGAGAGGAACGCAGGATCTCTCTCGCTTGTACCGTGTCGTGTAAGGAAAGAGCCAGATTTCCCAGAAGTGTCAAATACTGTGAAACTAGCTGCAGGTTACCCATATGACTATGTGCAATCTGCAAACCCTTGGCGAGACGGTTTCTGCATTGATATCATAACATTAGACCACCAGATCATGAACCATATCTTCACATACTACGAATTTAGTGAATATTCTTGACATACTTATTTCTCTTCCTATGAACACAGAGACAAGGCACATCATCCTGCTCTTATACGGTTTTGTATAATCATATTTTTTTTTTTGTAGGAGACGAAAATGGTATGGGTCTCAACAGCTTAGACAAGTACCAATGCACAAGTGTATTTACAAAGCAACCTTTGACAAACTGAGAAGCGAGCATATACCTTGCTTCCTGTAGATCTTGTTGCTTCATCAAAAGGAGACCGTAAGCAAAGAGAATACTAGCTTCCTCTCTAACACCAGATAGTGTATTCGTCATTCCATAGAGTGGTCCAATTAAATCAAGTGCCTAAAGACAAATCAGAGGTTTGAAAGCAGTCTTCTTAAGCTCACGGCAATAAAGCAAAGAGAGTATAAACATTCGATTAACTGCAGAGAAGTGTCAAACCTTAGATGATGATTCAGCGTCTCCAATAGCAAGGTAAGAAACAGCTGCAAAGGCTTGACACGTGGCTTGCATAGATTTACTCTCTGTCAGCTGAAATTGCATTGCAGACGAGAAATCACCATGGGCAGCAAAAAGGAAAATATGTTGATCAATATAAAAAAGGTACATAGACACCTTATTCTAAACTTAAGCTAATATCTATCATTTAGATGAGGTTATAAATTTTACCTTGGTCGCTTCGATACAATGGAAAGCAGCTTCATTGTAGCAACCGACACAATGCGAATATTGGCCCCTGAGCATCTCAATCACACACTCAGAAGCTTGCAAAATTGTTGGAAATCGAGTAAACCAATTTTTCATCTCAACCAGAGCCTGCACAATCGATATGCATTGTTATTGTGTTAGAGAAGGCTAACAGGACCTAATGTGAGGGGAACTAGATCAATTATACAGAAAAAGCTGGTTAACTCGGATAAATATCTATATGACAGTGATGTGGTGAAGGGAGGCAAAAGCAAATATGGGAAAAAGAGCTGATGGTCTACCTCTTCGGCTTCAACATAATCAGACCTTGTAAGTTCCAAAGCCACTCTATTCTCAAGGAACTGCATCTGGAGCATAAGATAAACCCCAGACATCCAGATAGCTGTGTGCCGCAAATCAGTTTCTGCCGAGAGAAGAAAAAAAAAGAGAGAATGAGAGCTTCAAAGTTAAGAATCGTTGCTTCAACTAAGTGTAGTTACAACATAGGAAGTAGGTTAAACCTCTAACTTCGTCAGTAATTCCAAGCTTGATCAGTTCATCTGCATAAACATAGCAAACACACAACATGTCATGCCACGAGATGGAATCCCCTAAGCTTCTTGGTTGTGTCTAAGAAGCAGAATACTGAAGCGACGTGTACTAAGAGAATAAATCACTCATTATACTCACTCAATTCTGAGGGGAATGGGTTACCTGGTGATTTCGGTAAGACAAAAGAAAAAAAAGGAGATAATCTAGTGCAGCAGAAAAAATGTAGTTGTAGGAAGCAAACAAATAGAAAACAGTAACTTCGAGTGATAAGGATAATAGACCAACCTTGAATGATCTGCAATCCAGACTCGATACGTTTTGAACACTCTTTAAAGAGTCCCTTAGGACGTCCCGATATGACAACCATAAGATGGACCAAGGCATAGATGGCATTTTTTGGTAGCCACTGTCCATCGATTGGAGATGGTGAAAGCAGTAGCATCTCCGTCCATGCACGATCTGCGTTGCCAAAGTATGTGGGCTCCAGAGAGTTACCAGCAGTAGAAGATGGAGACAAAGCGTTTACACGATCTTGGAGCTGAGATTGTCTGGAAGAGAGGGCTGATCTTTCTCTGGAGGGAAGATCATAACGGGAGAGACTGTGATTTAACGAAGCGAGCTCATCCAGAAGCTGCTGAGTCTCCTCCATTTTATGCGAATGAGCATTCATTGCCTGGTCTAAGCGATCGACATGATGCTGAGCGTTCTTATAATCACAGAGCCTGAGTCGATAGAAAACATGCAACATCTCATTGTAGAAGAACAAACCAGGGCAGCGTTCAGTCTACAAATGACAGGGGAGTTAGCTGACTCGGTACAAACAAAAGCAAGAAGAAGCTAAATGAGCAAAGGCACATACTTTGTCTGAAGAAATGGTTTGCCAGATTTCATCGCATCGCTGAACAGCCTTTTCCACTGAATAATCATCGGTCCATTGCATGATATGAACATGGAGCATAGAAGCTGTGAAGAACATCTGATTGCAGAACAAAAAATTAACAACAAAGATGGTCTGACATGAAACGCAAAAGCAAGAGAAGAATGTACCTGGAGCTCAGGAAAACAAATGTGTGAAGCAGAGAGAAAACCAGACTCGAGAGCGGAGAGAGAAGAAGGGAAATCGGCTTGGATAATGAAGGCGTTAGCGAGCTGAGAGTTGAAATTGCAAGACCAAAGGTGGGCAGAGACATCCTGAGAGACAGAAGAAGAGAGCTCGAGAGCCTTGAGGAGGAGGTTGCGTTGAGGATGGAATGCGGCAAGGAGGTGATAACAGTGGCTGAGCAAGCTATAAGTCCGGAATTTGAGATCAAAGGAGGAAGGAATAGACTTGAGGAGAAGAAGAGAACGCTCGAGATGGGACTTGGCATGGTTGACATTGTGAGAGTAACGGAGAAGAAGAGCAGAGACGCGGACACGAGACTTGACTTCAACAAGAGGAAGGAAAGAGATTTGGCTCTGGCAGATGGCTTCCAAACATTTGATGGATTTCCCAATCTCACCAAGCTTCTCGTGGTGATCTGCTAGTCCCCACAGACCTTCCGCCACTGCAGCACCTTCCATTGTCTGATTGAGAGAGAAACCAAAGATGAAACTTATGATTGAACAAAAACTCTATCATTGAACGATAAAGTTGCGAATTGATCTTAACCCTCAGCCCTTTCGAAAGGCACATACCACGTTTTTCGGTGACCTAAGAGTCGGAATTTAAGCAGTGTGACTTGCCCAAAATCCTGGGTTCGAATGGTTTGACTCTCGGGATCGAGCTCGGAGACTGTGGAACACCGCAAAGGCCTGACCTTTCTTCTCTCGGCGATGGAGAAACACCTCTGATCGAAAAGTTCTTTCTCCCCTCGTCAGATCCGACCCGCTACGAAGGTATCCAGACCCGTTGCTTTTGATCATTCATTCCATAGTCGGATCCATATTCAGCCTCGTCTATATATTAAAAGTGAAGCATTAGGTGACAATTTTTGCACCAAATTTTTTTCAATATTTTTAAATAATTAAAATCTTATAATAATTATTTTTACTATTTTTCTAACTAAACATCATTTTAGCCAAATATTCATATTATTTTGCTAGCCAAACACCCTTACTATCCCACTAGCCAAATATAATTAATATCATTAAATTTAAATTCGAAAATATTAATTACAATATTAATTTCAGAGAATTAAGTTTAAATCCAAAATAAATCTTATACTAATTATTTGTTAAATAATTAAATTCTCTATATATTAACTTGTTTTTTTGTTTAAACTTAATTTTTCAGCTTTTTTTAAATAATCAAATTCTCTATATCTTAAAATTCTATACTAAAAAAATTTTCAGCTTTTTTTAATAATTAAACCTATAAAATTAACTCTTATTCTACAATCCAAACACTTCTTCCTCCCACAATCTTTATAACCAAACATGTTTATTTTAATTTACCTTTAATCTGATAATGTATTAAAATATTATCTAATTACACATCATAACTACATTAAATTATTTTTACGATTACTCAGGAGCATAACTGCATTACTAATTTACTATTGTATATAACGAAATTATATGGCTTCTTTAGCAAACAAAATATTTCCTATTCCATATTTCCATAAAATAAAATATATTGATTTATTGACCACTAAGAAACTAACCACAAACAATCTTCAATTGATCTTACAAATGCAACACGCAAATTTAAACAATATAATTTTTTATCAGATACTAACCAATATTTTCTCAACAAAATTACCCTAACTTGCTATAACTACCTTAGATTTTCTACTGGCAATTCTACATATCACGTATTTTGTTAACTATTTCAATACAAAATCTTATCATATTAACTACTCACAAAATTACACACAATTAAGTCTATAAATAGTCAACCTACCTCATCTTTATTCTCATTCTCATCACCAACTCCAAAAACATAGTTTCAAAATTCAAAATACACAATGATCTTTTGATAGGCCACACATTATTCCATTAATTTCAATTTGCAAAATTTGATGAAATTCATGACAACACAAAAGATCCAGAGTTTTTTTTTGTTTGAAACTAGATTCAGAGTTTTTGATTGCTACATTTTATAGTCAATTTTAATTATTTATCAGAGTTACTTCATTAACTGTTAATTTTTATTTTAGATTCACTGGTGAAGTTGGTCCATTTACAATACCTTAATTCATCATTATCTTGATCAAAAGCATCAATGATCAGAATAAAACTTTGTGATACAAAGTAAGTTGTCCTTCACTTTAGACTGTATTTTTATTAAAAAAAAATTTTAGTTAAACATATTCTAATATGATATGTAAATAAAATCAATGATTTGTTAATGGAGTGTTTTCTGTGGGTAAACACAGTCAACATTTTCAACTTTTTTGGAATAACAGCTCCGATTTGAAGAAAATTGTAATTTTGAGGTCTAAAACAATTAAAGAATTGAGATGTATGTTCCTTCAATTAGGTTTTCATATTGTAAACCTAATTACTCACAAAATGATCAAAAATCATTTACATATTGTTAATCAGATCAGAGAGCAATTTTATCTATGGATTTCCCTGTATTTCAGATGTGAAGTCAATGATTTTCTTCAGCGGTAAGTGGAACATATACAATATTTATTGTTTAAATGTTTGACTAATTAATATCCTCAACTAAAACATATGCATGTCATTTTGTTAATCTACCAGGTAAAACAACACTCCAAAGGAATTACCGAAAACCAAGGGTGAAGACGAATGATGAGTTTTTGTTACTTTTTTATTATTAAATTTCAAATAAGTTTTCTTTTCTAAGGCACAACCAAAAATACATTTATTTTTGTTATGTTTAATTTTTTTTATATGAATACTAAAAAAATCCAGGGCCTTAAATCTTATTGTTGTATTGCTCTATATTCTTTTATATATTAAAGAAAACACATTTTTAGATTATTTTCTACAGTCCAAACTCTCAAATTTTCTAAG